TCAGAGCTGATCTTCCTCACAAAAAAAAAAAAAAAAAAGGATTCATTTATTAAATGTAAATTATACCCCAGTAAAGAAAAAGATTTTTAGGCATAATAAGCTCACTGCTCAGTCTCTTCCATTACTAATATGATAGTTAAATGCCATTTTCACACTAACCATGCTTTATGACCTGTACAATATTTCAAAGCATTTTGATACAATTAAGAGATCATGGATATTTACTGTCCACTAAGAGAAAAGTAAAACATTAACTCACTTCGCATTTTAGGGTTATGAATTTTTCCACGTGCACCCTCATGTACCCACCACCCAGAATAGGACGGAGAATACTTCCAGCACTTTAAAATTATTCCCCTTTTCACAAGATGATTTGTCAGTAGATTAGTGAGAAAAGACTTCTGTAAAACAAAGCTAAGAAAACGTATTCATTTTGAAACAATTTTTTTCTCTTAAAACTGGTGTCTTCTGCTAATCACTAAACTAATTGGGAGCTATTCACTTTCCTTAAAAGGAGAAACACAATTTTATTCACATTTTTTCAGAGGTTCAGAAGAGCTTCTTCTATAATTTCTTCCTTTCAGAGAATCTCTTTATTTTTTCTTAGTAATAACTTGAACAGCTCTTCATCAACACTATTGCAATATATAAGTAAAGCAAAGAACAGTTTTTACCAACTAAAATATTGTCTATACTTCTTCCTAGCTTTTTTTTTTTTTTTTTTTTGGTAAGAAAGATTCACCCTGAGCTAACATCTGTTGCTAATCTTACTTTTTTTTTTGGTGAGGAAGATTAGCCCTGAGCTAACATCCATGCCCGTCTTCCTCTACTTTATCTGGGACGCTGCCGCAGCATGGCTTGACAAGTGGTGCATCTGTCTGTGCCCAGGATCTCAACCTGTGAACTCCAGACCACCGGAGTGGAACGCACGCACCTATCCTCTACGCCACTGGGCTGGCCCCCTTCCTAGCTTTTAAGTAATTTAGTAGGTCAGGACCTTGGGTGACCTTGGGCCTCAATGTTCATATTGAGGTAATTTGGCCTAGTGAACCCTCCATGTTATTAACCTTTGGTGTGTCTAGTCTGTTTTACTAAGAAAGTTTACCTCTAGTTGTCCAGTTAGGATGGGTGTCATCTCAGCTGGAAGATGATATTACAGGGATTTCACTTTCAGTGCTGAGTGAGAGCAAGCTTAATATTTAGGGACACTGAAAACCTTTTATACTTACGTGATAGTTGGACTAAGTCATTTTTAAATTCTCATGCTTACTTGACACGTAAAAGTATATGATTAAAAAGTCTGTTATTCCAGCTGTGGCCAATTTTTTTCAGTCTCTTCTAATTGATTTTCTTCAATCTCAGAATTGACCAACTGTAGGACTAGGGCAGTCACTGATTCATGTTGGAGGGATTATTCATAATTCTGTAAGGAAACCTCAGGAGAGTAATTTGCTAGACCTGTTTTTACAGGAAAAGGTACCAGGATATCAAACGGTGTGAGTGCACTAGACTCAGGAAAAGCTGTTCTCTGTCCCATAGGAAAATTACAGTCTCCTCTTTTTGCAAAGTACAGGTATTAGTTGCTCTGTTTTAAAGGTTTTCATCCTATACTCTTTCTTAGTGGGCAAAGCCTGGATCTGGTGGGCATCAGCTGTGGGGTTGACGAAGTTTGAGTTGTCAGCCCTCAGGGCTACAGCTGGAGAATGCCTGTCCGCAGACAAACACTTGTTGCCCCCTAGTGGTGAGATGGTCTTCCTGCCCTCAAAGATGTGAGTCTGTTCTGGTGGATGCAGAGCTTGTCTTGTCGTGGCTTGCCTTTTGCCTTTCTTTTCCTTTTCTCTTTTACTGAGGTATAAAATACATAAAGCCGGGCTGGCCCCGTGGCATAGCGGTTAAGTGCCTGCACTCCGCTGCTGGCGGCCCCGGGTTCGAATCCCGGGCGCGCACGGATGCACCACTTGTCAGGCGGTGCTGTGGTGGTGTCCCATATAAAGTGGAGGAAGATGGGCACAGATGCTAGCTCAGGGCCAGTCTTCCTCAGCAAAAAGAGGAGGATTGGCATGGATTTTAGCTCAGGGCTGATCTTCCTCACACACACAAAAAAATACAAGGAGCAAAATGTACAAATCATAAATATACAACTTGATGAATTTTTAGATATGTATACACTCCAGTAACCACTACTCGGATCAACATTTACATCACCTTAGATCTGCAGTTGGCAAACTACAGCCCATGAGCCAAATCTGGCCTGCCATGTGTGTTTGCAGTTAAAGTGTCATTGGGACACAGCAGCACCCTTTCGTTCACACATTATTGTCTCTGGCTGCTCTTGTGCTGCAGCAGCAGAATTTAGTTGTGGCAAACACCATATGACCCATAAAGGTTGAAATATTTACTATCTGGCCCTGTAAATAAACGTTTGCTGACCCCTACCTTAGAAAGCTTCTTCCTGCTTCATCTCAGTAATATCCATCCCCTTCCCCCATTCTGACTGTGTCACCAAATATTAGTTTTACCTGTTCTAGAACTTTCTAGAAATGGGATTATACAGTATATTCTCTCCTATTTTTGACTTCTTTCATTTGACATAATGTCTATGAAATTTATCCATGCTGTTGCATGGATATCAGCAGTTCATTCCTTTTTATTGTTGAGTTGTATTCCATTGAATGGATGCACCACAATTTATCTAGTTCTCCTGGGCAGTTTCTAGTTTTGACTTATTATGATCAAAGCAGCTATGAACATTCTTATACAAGCCTTTATTGAACAGTATGCATTTATTTCTCTGGTATATACCCAGGAGTGGAACTTCTGGGTCGTAAGGGATTCTCTGTTCAGCTTTAGTAGAAATGGCCAAAGAGTTTTCCAAAACAGTTGAACCAAATTACAGTCTCATCAGCCGTGGTTGAGATCTCTTGTTGCTCGTGGATGTGGATTTTCAATTCCAGGCTGTAGATTATTGGCACAGTATATTCAGACCTATTTATACGGTTTCTCACTTCTGTGAGTGAAAAACTTGAACATTCTTTATTAATGTTTTGTACCAGTTTAGTTCTTTATTTCCTAATGTGTGGATGTTTTGGAAATAGGGAGTCTCCGTGTTTTAGTAGTCATATCTAACTACAGTACCAGTTACTTTAAGAGAAAAAATTTTAGGGGCTGGCCCAGGGGCTCAAGCAGTTAAGTGCGCGCACTCTGCTGCTGCGGCCCGGGGTTCGCCGGTTTGGATCCCAGGCGCGCACCAACGCAGCGCTTGGCAGGCCATGCTGTGGCGGCGTCTCATATAAAGTGGAGGAAGATGGGCACAGATGTTGGCCCAGGGCCAGTCTTCCTCAGCAAAAAAAGAGGAGGATTGGCAGATGTTAGCACAGGGCTAATCTTCCTCACAAAAAAAAAAGAGAGAGAAAAATTTTAATATTGTGATTTTTGAATATCACTACAAATTCATAGTTTTTATAGACTGAAATTTTGTGAACATATGTGTTCATAAGGAACTACTGGGCCATAACATAGTCGTGTTATTAGCTTCAGTAGATATGGCCAGTTTTCTCTTAGCACTTTTCCTGCATAGTTGGAGCCCCTTGAGGCTTGCTCCTGTGCCCCCTTGCCAGGACCCATCCACTGAAGAAGGGTCCTTCCTTTCTTTTTTTTTTGTGAGGAAGATCGGTCCTGAGCTAACATCTGCCAATCCTCCTCTTTTTTTTTTTTTTTGCTGAGAAAGACTGGCCCGGGGCTAACATCCATGTCCATCTTCCTCTACTTTATATGGGATGCCGCCACAGCATGGCTTGACAAGCAGTTCGTTCGTGCGCGCCCAGGATCTGAACCAGCGAACCCCTGGCCGCTGCAGCGGAGCGCACGCACTTAACCGCTTGCGCCACCAGGCCGACCCGGGTCCTTGCTTTCTGACACTCAAGATTACAAAGGTGCATCTTACATTCTTTGCTCCTAATGTGGAGTCAGCCATTTTTCAAGGAGCTCTAGTTCTTTTTAGTAAAAATTAGTGGTAGAGATCAGAATCTGGGTACTAGTAGGCTTTTCCAGTGAGGATGACACCAGCCCAGGTTAGGTCAGTGAGAACAGCCACAAAAGACATAATTTTTTTTTTCCTGTTTTGTTTATTTTTTTAATTGAAGTAACATTGGTTTATAACATTATATAAGTTACAGGTGTACATCATTATATTTTGATTTCTGTGTGGACTACATCATGTTCACCACCCAAAAGATATGATGTGAAAAATCGAGTTAGGGCCGGCCTGGTGGCTTAGCGGTTAAGTGCGTGCTCTCTGCTGCTGGCGGCCGGGGTTCGGATCCCTGTTGCACACCAACACACTGCTTCTCCGGCCACGCTGAGGCTGCGTCCCACATACAGCAACTAGAAGGATGTGCAGCTATGACATACAACTATCTACTGGGGCTTTGGGGGAAAAATAAATAAATAAAATTTTAAAAAATTAAAAAAAAATAAAAAATCGAGTTATTCCATTGATAATTTCAATACAGTTCTAACATTAAATGTTCAAGTACATCATAAAATATTTGTGTACACTCTTAAACTATGATTTACCCTTTTTCTTTTATAATTTAAGCCATACGGTTATTTCTTTAATTAAACATCTTAATTGAAAGTAACAGTTCTTTCTTCTTGTCTGTTGAAAATTATTTTTTAATGGCAACACTTAATAATCTGCTGGATGAATAATAAGGTTTAGCCTTTCAGTAATTATTTGTACTCTAGTTTAAGTAACCATTAGTTTTACTAAAATCATACAGTTATTTTACTTTGCTTTGAGTTTTTTGTAATATTTTCAACACAGTTATAGAAGCCCTTCTCCAGTATATACTTGGGGCCGTGATTTACGTTTTAAGGATTTTATTTTTTAATAAGTTACAGTTCATACTTGGTAGCAGCTTTTACTTCCTGGGGGGTCTGTGTTATGTATCCACATCCTGAGCTGAATGGCACTGTTTTTTTCTTCTGCCACAGTGATTTAAAGCATGGGTTTTGAACAAGATTTACATAGGGAATTTGCAAGTTCAAAGACAGGCCTGGTCCCTCACCGCTCTGTTCTCTCTTTCTCCATCCTCCTCCCCCCAATCTCTATCTTCACAGGCCTCGGATCTTAGTCCAAGAACAGCAGAAAATGATTGAGTACCAGGTAAGTGTGATGTCAAGTAGCCTAGTTTCCCTTCTTGGGGAAACTTTTAGAAAACATACATGCATTTCAAGCATATATACTTCATCATAGCCTGAGTTCTCAGGAAAACAGACTCAGAGATGGAGATTTGCACACAGCAGGTTTACTAGGAAGACTTGGAACACCTATAATGCAGTGAAGGAAGCAGGACTGGGCAGAGGGAGTTGTTGAACAGAGGCACCAGCTGAACTTATAAGATGCTCTGGAGCTGGAATGGCCCTACGTGTTGTCCTGAAAGGAGGCAAGGAGGCCTTTGGCCAAGGGCAATTCTCAAAAGGTGTCAAGCCTGCAGCAGCCAACATTCTGGCAGCTGGGAGAAGCACCTTGGTGCCGCAGGGGGATTTTTGTGGAATACCGCAGCCTCCTCTCTAGACATAGATACAATGGCAGGACACTTAACATACATACTTGCTCTACCCTTTTCTTTTCTCCAATTAAAATATCCTAGAGATTTTTCCATATTAGTACTTAGAACCACACCATTTTTTTTAACTAGATATGTATTGTTCCATCATATGCATGGAATATGATTGATTTAACCAGCCACCCATTCTATGGACATTCAGGTAGTTTCCAATTTTGATATTACAAGCAAGGATGCAAGGAACATTTTTTGTTGGAACACAGATGTACAAAGTAGCGAGTCCAACGAGAGTCGTTAACTGTGGTCTTCCTAGTAACCCAGCACAAAGGCAAACACAGCTAGTCCATGATTTGCATTGTCCATAAGGAAGAAGCACATTGTTATCTCCAAGAGAAAACTAGCTTTTCAAGGCACTTCTTTCTAAAGACATTTCCCTGAGGGGCCTATGGCTGAAGTACAGCAGCGCTGCTGCTGACAATGTGGTCCCAGGACGTGGGCATCTCCCGGGAGCTTGTTAGACACGCAGAATGGCAGGCCACACCCTAGACCTGCAGAATCTGGGCATCTGCGGGTGGGGGCTGGGGAATCTGTGTTTGGCAAGCTCTGGGCAATCCTGATGCACATGAAAATGTGAGAAGCACTGATGGAGTGGACAAAGTTCTTAATAGTAACTGACAAATGCAGGGGCATGTTTTCTACAGCGGTTCCTCTGCACTTCATGTGGAGGAGAGTATTAGCCTCACAGCAACTCCAGTGCTCCAGGTGACCAAACTGTCTGGCCCTAGCTTCCCAATGATTGGATAGTCTTTTCTCTCGGTGTCAGAGTTGCAGAAGTGTTAACCTCTCTCTGCTTTGTGGCCCACATTTGTAACGAAGGAAATGCTAAATTTCAGTTAGAAGCAAGTAAAAATACAAATATTATTTCTTTTCTGGGGGCCAAGAGGATTCCTCCGTGTTTACGGAAGTCCTCAATTTGATGCAAGATGTCTGCAGCCTGGATCTAGACAGGAACTGACAAACTACCCAGCATTGAAATTACTTTTATTCCCCATAAGTGTCTTTGCTAGTTTGGCAGCAAACAGATGAACATCTTGTTACCCAGCAAGTCTCAGTGTGAACTGTTCCCAGCTCCCCCTACCTTCCTCACCATCTTTTGAAGGTGAAGGGCCCTGTGACCTGACAGGACTCCCCCTCAGCCCCTGAGTTCCTGCATTCCCGCCTCCTCGGAGGCCTTCCTCAAGCAGGGACATCTCTTTCCAGAGACCTGTCCTCTCCCATTTCCTAGGTCTTTTCCCTTGTCCCTCCAACCGCTGTCAGTGCTCCAATCCTAGAAACCATCACCAGTTCCAGACCACAAAGTCCTTCCCTTTCTCTCCTGGCCTCCCTCATCTCCTGAATTCAGTGATTTCCCTGCTCCTGATGTTTCCACATCCTGTTTCCCATTCCTTCGTGAGTCCAGCATCCTCTCTTCCCACTTAACTAAAACTTTTCTGGCCAAAGTCCCAGGCAACCTTGCTGAGGCTGAAATCAGAGGATGCTTTTTGATTGTTTTGCTGAATTAGACCCTGCCTTTTGCCCCCTTCTTTGTGGAAGGCAGCTCCATGTACTGGTTAAGAGCTCAGGCCCTGGGGGGCTGGCCCTGTGGTGTAGTGGTTGGCTTTGGCGCCCTCTGCTTTGGCGGCCCGGGTTCACGGCTTCAAATCCCTGGCACAGAGCTACACCACTCGTCAGCCATGCTGTGGCGGCGACCCACATATAAAGTGGAGGAAGATTGGCACCGATGTTAGCTCAGGGCTATTCCTCAGCAAAAAAAAATTTTTTTAAAAAGAACACAGACCCTGGAAGCAGCTGCTGAGTTTGAATCCCAGTCCTTACCATCTGTATGACTTTGGGCAAGGCCTTGAATCTCTCTGTGCCCCAGTTTTCCCTTTGTGATGTGGGGATAATGGCACCTACCTCAGAGAGTAGATGTGACAACTAAATGAGTTAATATATGTGAAGTGCTTGGAATAGACTGGTTGTCCGTATTAAGTGTTTGTTGATTATAATCACTGAGGTCTGTCCTTCAGTGCTCCCCTACTCTGTGTCTCATGACAACTTCTCAACATCTGTGGTTTCTTTCCATCTGCTTATCTCTTAGACATTTGTGTTCCTGTGGGTTTGAGCCTTCTCTGGGGCCTCTGGAGGTGGTTTCATCCTCTTGGGCAGTTGGGGTGAGTCTGCAGGTGACTCCCTCATCTGTACCTAAGCCCGGGCCTCTTCCAAGAGCTTCAGGCCCCTTTGCCCATGACGTGATCAACATCTGCACCTGGCTGCCCCATGGCACTTCAAACTTAATGTGTACAAAGTTGAACTCTTGACTTAGTCTCCTCGTCCCAGTTTCCCATCTCAGAAGATGGTACCATCCCACCAGGCAAGCCAGGACCCCAAGATTTATCCTTGACTTCTCCCCACCTTCCCCCTCTCACACTCAGTCACCAAGTCATGCTATTTTTACAACCTCAGTGGTTCTTCCATCTCTCTCCTCTTCATACCTATGTTTGCTGAAAATGGCCTGGCCTTTTGGGTGCAGAATTATATCTTTTCTATTTTATTCTGTTCTGTTCTATTCCATTCCATTCTGTTCCATCCCATCCCATCCCATCCCATCCCATTCCATCCAGTTAGCTCAGTTTGGGAACGGTTGACCCAGAGCCTGTCACTGAGCCAAGGCCCTGCGTTCTGCAATAAAGCCTGATGGCTGCTCTCTCACTACCACGGTGTGTTGTTCCGGCATTAGAGAGGGTATCTGGTTGGCACCTGCTCTGTGCCATGGCCTTTGTGTGGGTCTTAGGGTCTCATGTGCCAGCATCCATTGGCCTCCACCCTGGTTTTGGTCCTGCCTTCACTTCAGGTCGCTCTGCCTGGGCCACTGCTCAAGTGCCACTGTGAGACCCAGCATCCTTCAAGGAGACCTACAGCCTCCTGAGAGTGGAGTGCAGGGCTGCGCTGCTCTCAGCCCCTTCAGCCTCTGTGGGGCCCTGTCAATGCTTCTTTCCTCAGGACACTCCCAGAGGTGGTGGGCCAGTGCCCCAGCACTGTGCAGTGCACTGGAGCTAGCCACCCCACTAATGCCCAGGGCAGAGGCCCTGGGTCTCCCCCCCAACGCCTTTTCTTTGTCTTTTAGAATTGTTTTCCCTTTCTTTCAGATTTTAAAATATTGATTTACAATGTTTTTCTACTTAAATAAAATAGGCACCTTTATATAGTGCTATTATATGCCAGGCACAGTTTAAAGGCTTTACACATATTAACTCATTTAAACTTCATAATAACATAATAACCAAGACTATTATTATCTCCATTTAATAGATGAGGAACCTGAGGCACAGAGAGGTTAAGTAGCTTTCCCAGGGTCACTCATTTAGTGGCTGAGCCTGTATTTGAACTCAAGCAGTCCAGCCCCAGTGTCCATGCTTTTCACCCACCTGCTGCATTGCCTCTCGTGTCTGTCAGTCATGGGGAAGTTAGAGAGCAGTCCACAAGACCACCCTTACTTCTGACACCAGTTGCAAGTTTAGAGGTTCCCAGGACCACCCTCAGGTTTGATAATTCACTAGAAGGACACACAGAATGTTATACTCATAGTTATGGTTTATCACAGCAAAAGGATACACATTAAAGTCAGCCCAGAAAAGTGACACTTGTGGCCGAGTTCAGGAGAGTTTCACACACAGAACTTCCTGTTGTCCTCTCCCCTGTGGAGTTGTGGACAAGGCTAAATTCTCCCAGCAACGATGTGTGACAATACACACAGTATTGCCACAGTGGCCTGAGGAAGGAAGCTCGCCTAAGCCTCGGTGTCCAGAATTTTCTTTGGGGGTTGCTCACATAGACATGATTGACTGCTGCCCTCAGTCTCCAGCCCCTCTGGAGGTCGAGTTGATGCCTGTGATCCAAAGGCCCCACCAGAAATCACATTGTTAGACTATCTGGTGTGGCCCTAGGCCCCCAGGTAAACAAAGACACTCTTATCAAGCAGGACATTCCAGGGGCTTAGAGATTAACTCCCAGGAATTGAGGGCAAAGACCAGACCTCTCTTTGGGCAAGGTTAAATTCTTTACTATACAGTCACTTCAAGATATATCATAGGTACTGAAGAAAAAACTTTCCTCTATTCACAGCAGTAGTGTTTTGTTCCCCACACCAAACAATTCTGCCGTTCTCTGCGGACACCAACTGGATGTCCTACAATTTAATTCAATTCCAGAGTTAGCCCACTCCCTACAGGTTAGGGGCTCAGTCTCACAAGACTGCCCCCACTTCAGATGCAATCACAAATTCCAGGTTGTCACCTGAACTGACCAACTAGCTATAAATCAGGGGTTCCCGTGACCCCCTCCTCAGTTTGGATAATTTGCTATAATGACTCATAGAACTCAGGGAAACACTTTATTTACTAATACAGGTTTATTATAAAGGATATTATGAAGGATACAAATGAACAGTCAGATAAAGAGGTACATAGGGCGAGGTACAGAAGGGTCCTGAGCCCAGGAGCTTCTGTCCCCATGGATTTTGGCATGCACAATCTCCTGGATATGTTCACCAACCTGGAAGCTCTCCAGGCTTTTTATGGAGGTTCCATTATGTAGGCATGAGTGATTAAATCATTGGCTGTTGGTGATTAGCTCAATCTCCAGTCCCTCTCCCTGCCCCAGAGGTGGGGGAAGGGGTGGGGGGGGGGTGAAGGTTCCAACCCTCTAATCACAAAGTTGGTTCCTCTGGCAACCAGCCGCCATCCTCCAAGAGTCACATCATTAGCATAAACTCAGATATGGGTGACAGAGGCTTGTTATGAATAACAAAAGACACTCCTGTTACCCCTATCACTCAGGAAGTTACAAGGGTTTAAGAAGCTCTGTGCCAGGATCCAGGGAGGAAGACCATATATATATATTAATTTCTTAATATGTGACAATATCAGAGGTGCCTTACTAGGTTAGTACCCGTGGGTCTCCCTCAGCAGCTGTCTGGTCCCAGGGCAGTGGGCTCTTTGGAGAATTTGTTCTCTGTGCCCTAAACCGGAGGACTGCCCGGCCAGTGTAATCTGAGGGTTACCAGGCTGTGAGGCCTCCTTTCCAGACTATTCTATTCCTCCTCTGGCTCTCCAGCTGAACTCTTCTGCCACTGGCGTCTTAAATATTGTGTCCCTTGGGGCTCCTGGGCACTTTGCTCATCCTGTCTCCTTGCAGAGAGATCCCACAGTTTGACGGCTTCAGCCACCACTTCTGTGCCGATGGATCACCTGGCTTTAGCTCCATTCCTTATCCTGCTCCTGACACAAGACTCATATGTCCATCCCGCTGCCTGCCAAGTGTCTCCACCCGTGTGTTCTCCAGACATGTCCAACATGCCACATCCTCTCTGCTTCTGCTGTTTTTCTCATCTCTGATTTACCACCATCACCCTTTGAGACACCTGGGTGTTATCCTTACCCATCCTCACCCTCCCCAAGCAGTTAGGGTGCAGGTTCTGCTCTTCTCTACAATGGTCCTTCTCTACCCCACCATCGCTGTCCTGCCCGTGACATCATCTTCCACCTGGGTGATTACAGAGTCTGTCTCCTTCCACTGCTCTCCAGGTCACCCTTCTCTTTCCATCCATTCACTTTCTAACTCTCCATAAGTTTCGAATCTCTCGTAGGCAGTATTGCTTTTTTATCCAGTCTCACAATCTCTGCCTTTTTGGAGTGGTTAGTCATATATTAAATTACATTATAATTTAATATAGTTTAATATATATATAAGTATTGGTATGGTTGGATTTATATCTATCTTTTTAGTATTTAGTTTTCTATTTGTCCCATCTGCTTTTGTCCCTCTGTTTCTTCTTTTCTCTCGTGTGTGTGTTTGTGTGGATTAATTGGATATTTTTTAGAATTTTATTTACTTTATTTACTTCAGTCCACCTCTTTGCACTATGATTTCAGTGGTTACTCTAGGAATATGATGTACATCCTTAACTTTTCACAGCTTAGAGTTACCACAGTACCGCTTGACATAGAATGCAAGAAACTCAGCACATGCCTTCTAGAATGTGCTTTCTACACACACCCCTCCCTTGATAGATTTCCCATTGTCTTCAAGTCCATCATCGCATCACTCGCAGGCCTCTGTACGCTTTCTCCTGTTACTGAGTGACTTTCCATCCTTAGAATCACTGTTTTGCCCCCATGCCTTCGTTCATGCTGCTTCCTCTGCAAAGAATGCAGTTCTCCATCTTCCTGCAGAGAAGACTCAGCCCCACATATCCCTTAGCTCTGAAGCCTAACTAGACCCTGAAACATTTAATGGACCATTCACTTCTCTGCATTCCATCACCTAGATGTCCTGCCATCACAGCTCTTCAACTGTCGCCCTGATGGCTTTACTTGTTGCTCTCTGCCAGGCTGTGAGCTCCTTGAGGTCAGGAACCATCCAGGACTGTATCCCCAGCAACCAGCACTGGGTCACACAGTGGTCCTTCAGTCAATATATGTTGATTCAAGGTATAAATGGCAATGGCTTCCAATGCGATTGTCATTTTCCCCACCATCTATATCCCAAAGCCAGGAATAGAAAAGGCATCCTAGATAGATAAATGAACATGATAAGCTCTGACCTATGAACATTATAAAAAACCAGTACCATCTACCCCGCCTACATTTTTCCCCCATGACTCAATGTCATTTCATATTCAGCAGAGACCTGTGTCATTCAAGGATGTGGTAGTGGGCTTCACTCAAGAGGAGTGGCACAGGCTGAATCCTGCTCAGAGGGCCCTGTACCGGGATGTGATGCTGGAGACCTACAGCAACCTCGTCTCAGTGGGTAAGAACACCTCTGCCGCACAAGCGAGATTATGCTTAAATGACCACCTTTCCTCTTTCAGTTGCTAAAATAACTGAAGTACCTAGAGCCTCTGAAGTACCAAACAATTTCTATGTGCCAGACACTGTCTTAGCCACTTTAAAAATATTACCTCATTTAATCCTCGTAAGAGCCTTGTGAAGTGGGTACTAATAGTACCACTGTTTTACACATTTGGAAACTGAGGCAGAGAGGTGAAGTAACTTGCCCAGTGTCACCCACCTAGTACATGGTGGAGCCACAGTAGGATTTGAACGCCCGCAGTCTGGCTGCACATTCTGCATTCCTGGCCCTTACACTGTGCTGCCTCGATGAGTTTGGTTTGACTGTCAGTGGGCCTGGATTACTAATTCCTTTGGGTTCTGGACAAGGTGCGTGTACAGTCTCCTCCCAAGTATGATGTCTGTTGTGCAGCCTTTAATGCTGCCTGAGTGGCCCTGAAGATCAAGGAGCTCAGCCCAAGGCCTGGATCATTTCCCTGGAACAGGTTATGAAGGCACCAAACCATATGTGATCCGGAGGCTGGAGCAGGAAGAAGCACCGTGGATTTGTGAGGCGGCATGCTCAGGCTGCCACTGTCGGGGTAAGTGTGATAAATCCAGCAAAAGAGGGACTGTGGGAGGCTGGCACCTTTGGAATTTTGTTTAGGATCCAGCTCTTAAAAGCCTGAGAGCTTTGCACGCAGCTAGAGACATTTCTCTAGGAGCTTCAGCCTTCTTGACCCTTCAGCCTCCATGCATCCCACCTCACTTATCCAGTGTTCCTCCTTCCTCTGCTGTATATCTCACCTCTCCCTGTGCACTTGCTCCATTCCCTCTCTCCAAAATCCTTGGTCTCTCTCTTGAGGTTATCAGTCACCTTCTCTTTTGCCTTCAGGCATTCTTACAAATAGGCTTCTATGATTCTATCATTCCCGCTGGTCCCTTCCTATTCTCTACAGTTTCCAGGTAGAATGCCTCAGACCTGCCTGCCATACCCACCATCTCACTTCCCATCCTTTCCTTAATCCCTTAAGTTATCTCCTAGTCCTTTAATTTCCTTAAGTCACAGAGGAGGAAGCAGTGAATTCCAGGAGGTGACCAGGTGAAGGAGATGGTGGAGCTTGGCTGGTCATAACCACTTCAATTTAATATACAGAATAACTCTCCCATCAGCTCTGTAAAATATCCCAACGATACCCATGGTGCTCTGAGTATTGGTAGCCCACTGTTAAGGATGCCTCTGAACTTCTGCTTCTCCACAACAGTCATGGGCTTAACAAGAAGAGTCAGTGCCATCTGTTCCCAGATCTCTTTATGCCGCTTATACATGGTGTTGTAATCACATAATTGAATTAAATGTTATATAAACCCCCAAAACATTCAAGTCATTTTCATGCTTCTCCCCAAAATGATGTCTTTGAAATTGCTACCATCCGGCTTTCACTAGGTGTAGTAGTAGCAGCAACAGCATTAGAATTATTGGCCAACACTCAGGGTGGGCTCGGTATGTGCCAGGTCTGTTCTGAGCCCTTTACATATATCCACTCATTCAACCCTTACAACACCTGTGAGGTATCCAGCCTTATCAGCCCATTTACCAAAGAGGAAACAGTCACAGAAACTTATCTAAGAACATATAGCAGAGTAAGGGACCAAATGGGGATTTGAACCCAGGTAGTCAGGCTCCAGAACCAATACTCTTAACCAGCACACCCTGGTGCCCTCTGGGCTGTATTTTGCTTCATTAAACTGTGCTCAGCAACCTTTGTGAAACCATTGTAAGCTGGCTATCAGCCGCTTTTCTTTTCCCTCTTTCAAGAATTTTATATAATAACTGCAAAAAAAAAAAAAAAAAAAAGGTGTCTAGTCAGCCCTCCTTTCCAAGCGCTCTGTGTCCTCTATTTCCCTGGCTGCAGCCTGGCCTTTTCCTTCTGAGAGGCTGCTGCATTTTCTGTTTTCCAAACTTGGTCCTTTTGTCAATGGTGCAGCTTTCTCAAGGACGTCATCTATTCTGAGGCCACATGATGCTCACAACTGGCCCCTCTGCCAGCTTACATCCTTTTGTCCTCCTTGTGCCACCTAGCCCCCGTTTTACCAGTCTATGGACCAGCTCCACGGTTGTGTCCACTCACCCTTGGTTTTTGTATGGCAAAAACTGAAGTCGTCCTCATTCCTATTTGCTGCCTCCCCTCCATCCACACACACACAAGTGCACCCATGCACATACCTCACCTTACTTCTTCCAGAGCTTTGCTCCCATGTGCTCATTTTGAATCTTCTGTCTTTGCCACCTTCTCTAATTGTACTCTCCTTACTTCTTCCAGAGCTTTGCTCCCATGTGCTCATTTTGAATCTTCTGTCTTTGCCACCTTCTCTAATTGTACTCTCCTTACTTCTTCCAGAGCTTTGCTCCCATGTGCTCATTTTGAATCTTCTGTCTTTGCCACCTTCTCTAATTGTACTCTCCGTATGTGCTGGTTTTGTTGTTGGTTTTTTTTTGAGAAATGACTTTAAATCTTCCTCTTTACTTTTCATTTTCTGCTGACGTCTCCTAAAACTGGACCCAAATAGCCTCACGCCTGAATGTCTTTAACTAAGGGCTTCTTCATCGTTTTTGCACCATGGAACTCTTAGGCATTCTGGTGAAGCCTAATAGACCCTTTTTTACATATAAAAAATAAAATCCACACAAGGGGTGGAGAGATGCACTTATATGGTGACTGATAAACAATAATGTACAACAAAAATTTCACAATAAAAAAAATTAAATAAATAAATAAATAAAATCCGTAAGATTACAACAGAAACAAACTACTAAAATACAGTAATTTAAAATAAAGTTAGAAAATGCAATATCAAAATGTTTTCAAAATGTGTGATAATAGTAGATGTACTTCCTTATTTATACATTAAATATCTAGCATCAGGTCTAATAACTGTCATGCTCTCAGAGATGATTGTAAACATATTTTGAGAAATCTTCAACAACTATGTGACACGAAAATACTATATTCACAAACTAGTACAAGTTACAGGAACTAATACCACTGTGTTTTTTGTTGCTCACATTTATCATTGAAGGAAGTGTGCAGTTGTAGTTAGAGCTTAGTGAAAATAAAGATGTGATTTGCTTTCCTATCCAAATTCACAACTCCCCTGATTTCTGACCACCAAGTTAAGAGCTCTTGCTTTAAGTTCTGGTTAGCTTTGTTGATTTCTTCTTTTATCTAGTTCATCTTAGAGCCCTTGCCATTTATATTGTAACTAGCTCAATATGATAAGCTCTCTGATGACTGCTGTATTAGTGTTTGTCAGACTCTTAATATTTTGGGCAACTTGTTAAAATGCAGATTCTGATTAAATAGGTCTGGGGTAGGGCCCAGGATTCTGCACATCTGTCAGCATACCAGTTCCCAGATGAGGCTGAAGTTGCCCATTGAGAACCACGCATTGAGTAGCAGTATGCTGTATAACATTTAAACCCCTTTCCTCTGTAATAGGGATTGGCAAACTACGGCCTATAGGTTGGCCACCTGGTTTTGTGAATAAAGTTTCATTGGAACACAGCCGCACCCTTATGCTTACATACTATCTGTGTTCCCGCGATACAATGGGTGAGTTGAGTAATTATGACCAAGACCATATGGCCCACAAAGCCTAAAATATTTACTCTGGGCCTTGAAGAACATGTTTGCCAACCATTTCTCTATAATATCATCCCATCTTCCTCAAAATTATTTCTCTCTATAGTCTATGACATGTTCCATTCCACTTGTGCCAGTGTTCTGCATCTTCTCTACTCATACAACACCCTTCCCTGCATTGGTGCCTTTAGATGGTTCATGATCTCTATTTATATACTGTGCACCCTTTAAATTCTTAGGGCATTTCTCCAGTAGTTTTATTCCAGGCCATAATAATAGAAAGATTCATATGGAAAGATTTGCTGTACTTTCTCCAGAAAACATCTGGCAAGTTAATGTCCAGAGGAAAAGACGGCAGGACATGCTTTTGAGGCAAGGTACATTCATCAGCAAGAAAAAACTGCCCAAGGAAAGAAGCCATGACTGTAATAAGTTTGGGAAAATATCACTCCAGAGCACTGATCTTCCTTCAATTCAAAACTCCAATAACTGGGACCCTTGTGGAAAGAGTGTGAACCATAATCTAGACTTGATTGATTTTAAGAGAAACTATTCAAAAAAGCAAGAAGAGTGCTATAGATATGGAAAATTGTTACAGCATACAAACCGTGATCGAAGACCTAATGGAGAAAGACTCTGGGAATGCAGTCACTGTGAGAAAGCTTTCAACCATAACCCAGCACAGTATAAACCAACAGTAACCAATTCTCTTGAGTACAAACGTAAGAGGGTTCCACCTACAGAGAAACCCCACATCTGTAGCGAGTGTGGGAAAGCCTTCTGCTACAGGTCTGAATTCATTAGGCATCAGAGAAGTCACACTGGGGAGAAGCCATATGGATGCCCTGACTGTGGGAAAGCCTTTTCACATAAGTCGACCCTCATTAAACACCAGAGAATTCACACTGGGATAAGACCCTTTGAATGTTTTTTTTGTGGGAAAGCCTTCACCCAGAAGTCACATCGCAGAGAGCATCAGCGAACACATACAGGAGAGAGACCCTTTGTGTGCAGTGAATGTGGGAAGTCATTTGGTGAGAAGTCATACCTCAATGTACATCTAAAAATACACACAGGAGAAAGACCCTATCGTTGCAGAGAATGTGGAAAATCCTTCAGCCAAAAGTCATGCCTCAATAAACATTGGAGAACTCATACGGGAGAAAAACCGTACGGATGCAATGAATGTGGCAAAGCTTTCTATCAGAAGCCAAACCTTAGTAGACATCAGAAAATTCATGCTCGGAAGAATGCCTATAGGAATGAAAACCTAATAATTGTGGGAAAGCCTTGAGCAAGATACCCTATTTGTGGCCGGCCCCGTGGCTTAGCGGTTAAGTGCGCGTGCTCCGCTGCTGGCGGCCTGGGTTCGGATCCCGGGCGCACACCAACACACTGCTTCTCCGGCCATGCTGAGGCTGCGTCCCACATACATCAACTAGAAGGATGTGCAGCTATGACATACAACTATCTACTGGGGCTTTGGGGGGAA